CTCCTGAGTAGCTGGGACTACAGGCACGCGCCACCAGGCCCAGCTAATTTTTTGTAGTTTTTAGTAGAGACGGGGTTTCACCATGTTGACCAGGATGGTCTTGATCTCTTGACCTTGTGATCCACCCGCCTCGGCCTCCCAAAGTGCTGGGATTACAGGCTTGAGCCACCGCGCCCGGCCACCTTGTTCCTTTATTTCAATCAAGTCTCCACTAAAATGTCACCTTCTCTGTCACTCTGAGTCCCTCATACATACTCAACCCCCCCACTTTCACTGTTTTATTATATTCTTGTTATGCATTTATCACTAGCTGACATATATCTAGTTATTTGTTTACTGTTCGTTTCCCCAACTACAATTTAAGTAAGGACTTCGTTTTGTTCACTTAGAACAGTGCCTAGCATAGAACAAGCCCTTAATAAGCATTTGTTGAACGAATGAATGATTCTAACAAAGTACAAAGAATGCAGATGATTTGCCCAGTTACACAAAACTAGCGACTCATGGAAACAAACCTCACTGCGGCTTCCCGCTACGATACAGGCGCTCAAAGGGAACGTCGGAGGGAACCTGGCATAGAATGGCTGAAGGCGGCACAAATGGAGGAGGGAGTGAGCGAGGGGACTGGACAGTTAGAGCACCGCTCCTTCCTAGGGATGCGATTTTACGGACGGAGGCTATAGAGGCAGCCCCGGAATCGAGGTGTGTGCGGGTGTGCGCGCTTCGGAAGCCTGGGGGAGGCACGCGGAGGAGAGGGGTCTTTCATTCTTTTTCCCGCTCCAGGCCTCAATTTACCCATCTGTAAAGCGAAAGGGGCAGACAGCATATAAGGCCTCTTCCAGATCTGACGCTCTTTAATTTCCTATCCCACCTGGAGCAACCCTTCCGTGCCGCAGACCTGCTTCAACTTACCTCCCGCCTGCTCAGCTAAGAGTTCCTAGGCCGCCGCGGTAGACCGCGCTTCCGCCCTACGCCAAGGAAACGTCTGCGCCCGCCGCCAGGAAGGACCCCGGAGACGCCGCGGTCGCCTTTCTGCCCGGGAGGACAACCCTCTGCCTGAGGACCAGTTTCGAGGTATGCCCGCCGCGCAGACAGGAACCGGCATGGCGGAGCAGCGAGTCCCCAAGAGGAGTATCCTAAGACGTGGGCTGCTCTAAAAAGGGTGAGACCTGAGGACACACGAATCTGATCAGGCGCCTCTGGGCCACCCGGAAAGGGGGGCCTTCAGGCAGATCACGTGGTGGGGCTGTTGGAGCAGTTGCTGGGCAACCACAGCTGCGGGGCGTGGTCTGTGCTGGGCTGCCCTCCTGTTCTGGCTTATCAGGGGATCCCCAAAGAAAGCAAGGGGACCAAGGCCGGGGCTGTTGGGGTGAAGGTCCGGGAGGCTCCGTAAGGGGGCGGAAGGGTTAGTTTTACTTATTAAATGTCTGGGGAGGGCTGAGAACTGGACGCCTGAGTTCGGTTACTGACCAGCCCCGCCCCTTCTTGGCGTTCAGATTCCCCACTTTGGGGTAGGGTGGCTAATGGGTTTAGTTGAGGACCTCCTGCTTCCTTGCGCTAAGGCTGTTCGTGATGACTCTGCCACAAAATCTAGCTCAACTCACCAGGAATCTGCAGTTCAGAGAGGTCCCACAAGTAAATGCCAGAGCCCTGACTAGAAGCCACGTAGAGAATCTCTCTGCAGGCCGGACGCAGTGGCTCACGCCTGTAATTCCAGCACTTTGGGAGGCCGAAGCGTGCAGATCACTTGAGGTCAGGAGTTCGAGACCAGCCTGGGCAACATGGTGAAACCCCGTCTCTACTAAAAATACAAAAATTGGGCCGGGCGCGGTGGCTCAAGCCTGTAATCCCAGCACTTTGGGAGGCCGAGGCGGGTGGATCACGAGGTCAAGAGATCGAGACCATCCTGGCCAACATGGTGAAACCCCGTCTCTACTAAAAATACAAAACATTAGCTGGGCATGGTGGTGCGTGCCTGTAATCCCAGCTACTCAGGAGGCTGAGGCAGGAGAATTGCCTGAACCCGGGAGGCGGAGGTTGCGGTGAGCCGAGATCGCGCCATTGCACTCCAGCCAGGGTAAGAAGAGCGAAACTCCGTCTCAAAAAAAAAAAAAAAAAAAATACAAAAATTGGCTGGGCGTGGTGGCGCATGCGTGTAGTCCCAGCTAGTCGGGAGGCTGAAGCACGAAAATTGCTTGAACCCGGGAAGCAGAGGTTACAGTGAGCCGAGATCGTGCCACTGCATTTTATCCTGGGCAACACAGCGAGCCCTGGGCTGGACAGAGGGATTTGGGGATTGGATCATTGAGCTCCTTCCTCTGCCCCTTCTACTTGATTTCCTGCTCAGTCATTGCATTTGGTTTGGGTGAAAGTCTCCTTCCCCATTAAAGAGATTTAATGAGAATGAAACGTTATCTTCAGCTCCAGGGTAACTAACAAGAGTTCTGCTTTTGTGTGAGGTCCCCTGTCTAAACGACTTGCTGCAGAACACGCCTATGTGGAAGAGTGAAGGAACTGAATCCTGAGATCCAAATGCCTCCTCCGCTGAAGCACCAAAATTAAAAGTATTTTTAGAGGCAGAGAGCAAAATCAAGACAGAGCTCCAAATTCAGTCAGGAATCTATTCTGTTTTAAGGGGCAAGTCTTGTGTAAGTCCTCACTTTGAAATTCAGCTTGTCTTTGTGAAGTAGAAAACCAGTTTTGCAACACCTCCCAATATGAGTGACATGATGTCCAGAGTGCTTTGAGGTCATTTTGTGTTCTGGCGAATAATCCAGAGACACCCTCTTTCCCCCGATATTGACCCTCCACTGACGTGCATTTCTTTTGCCTTCCCAGGCACAGGCCATGGAAAGGAATGACACCATCGACTTCAAGGCTCTGGAGAAAGAGCTGCAGGCTGCACTTACTGCTGATGAGAAGTACAAACGGGAGAATGCTGCCAAGTTACGGGCAGTGGAACAGAGGGTGGCTTCCTATGAGGAGTTCAGGTTGGCTCACCGCCATTTTTCTCAGGCCCGCCCATTATAGTGGACTGTAGTAGTTAACTCTGAAATCAAACCATTTTGTTTGATCAGCCCTACTTCAGTCCTGGCCCCACCCTCTACTGTTTGATCTTATGCAATTTCCTTAACCTTTCTGAACCTCAATTATTTATCTGTAAAACAGTAAGCGTTATTATAATTAAATGAGTTCTTGCAAGTGTCTGACGTGTGAAGTGCCTGAGAGCAGTCAGCTATCACTGCTGTTGTTACTGTTATTATCATTATGGTCATACTGGTCTGTCAACAAGTTCATCCTATACCATGCAAATTCTAGCTGCCTTACACCCACAGACACAGCATTAAGTCCATTACCTAATTTCTGTCCTTTGCCCCCAGGGGTATTGTCCTTGCATCACATCTGAAGCCACTGGAACGGAAGGATAAGATGGGAGGAAAGAGAGCTGTGCCCTGGAACTGTCACACTGTTCAGGGAAGGACTTTCCAGGATGTGGCCACTGAAATCTCCCCGGTAGGTGAGGCCCTGCCTCTTTAGTCCAGCAGGATTCTCTGCCCTAAAGCTTCAATCCTGTTTGTTGTGTTTTTGAGACGGAGTCTCGCCCTGTCTCCAGGCTGGAGTGCAGTGGTACGATTGCAGCTCACTGCAACCTCCGCCTCCCAGGTTCAAGCGATTCTCCTGCCTCAGCCTCCTGAGTAGCTGAGACTACAGGGGTGCACTACCACACCCAGCTAATTTTGGTATTTTTAGTAGAGGTGGGGTTTTACCATGTTGGCCAGGATGGTCTCCATCTCTTGACCTCGTGATTCACCTGCCTCGGCCTCCCAAAGTGCTGGGATTACAGGCATGAGCCACCACGTCCAGCCCCTGTTTTTTTGTTTGTTTGTTTGTTTGTTTTTTAACCACACATACGTCTTCTTTATTTATCATGTTAAACCAACAGAGACAGGTTTCTGCCTCCAATCCCTGAAAGAAAAACAGCAGATGGTGAAGCTGAGTTGAACTGGGCAGAATGAGTCAGAAAGGTGGGCTAGGGAAGGGGACCTTCCCTTAGTTCTTTGACTTTCACTCTCAGATCACGTTTGGGTTGCTCTGCCTCTGAATTGCATGGTGTCGAGTGTAATGATCCTGTGCAGTGTTGAGAGAGAGATCCCGATATTCAGATCCTTCACATTCACTTGAGTTCCTTTCTCTCTTCCTGAGATTTCCAGTCAACCCATCCATACGGCTTACAGTAAACCCTGACTTATTCTTGAAGACTAGAGCTATGGCTCCATTCATGAGTAGGAAATTCCAGTATAAATGAGAATCTCAAATCATGACATGGATTCCTTGTCCCCCCAACCCCATCTCATCCCCAGTTCCCTCAGCTGAAAATGAGGCCCCCAAGGACCAAAATCTTCCCAGTGCTCAGAGAGTAACCGAACTAAGATGGAAACCTACAGGCTCCCCTCACTCGCACTGTTGCAGAGCAGCTGGAAGAGCTCCTGACTCCCTTTCCTTTCCTTATGATGCAGGAGAAAACCCCCCTCCAGCCCGAGACTTCTGCTGACTTCTACCGTGATTGGCGACGCCGCTTGAGGAGTGGGCCAGAGCGCTACCAGGCCCTGCTGCAGCTCGGGGGTCCAAAGCTGGGCCGCCTCTTCCAGACAGATGTGGGGTTTGGGCTTCTCGGGGAGCTGCTGGTGGCACTGGCTGATCATGTGGGGCCAGCTGACCGGGCAGCTGTACTGGGGATCCTACGCAGCCTGGCGACCACCGGGCGCTTCACCCTGAACCTGAGCCTGCTGAGCCATGTGGAGAGAGAGAGATGCAAGTGTTTGTTTCAGAAGCTGCAAACCATGGGCACCCCCAGACCCATGAAGGAGGGGCTCAGCTGGGAGGAGCAGGGTCTGGAGGAGCAGTCTGGTAGGCTCCAGGAGGAGGAGAGGCTCCTGCAGGAGCTGCTGGGGCTGTACCAGGTTGACTGATGTGACCAGGTACCCTCAGAGGTCCCGGTGGTCATGGGAGGCAGTTTTTTGGTTGTTGTCTTGGGGTTCTGCAGGACCGTAATAAGAAACCCACGCTTAGTTCCTGTCTCAACTTGGAATTTTCAGAGCAAAAACAGGAATCAAGTTTCCCACTTCTCTAGCCCCTCAGTGTCTCGATATTTTGAACTGTGTGTATCCACGGGACAATAAAGAGTTCAGGAAGTTGAAAGCAGTTTTGTTTCCCATCCATGGAGTCTGCCAAGCCTCTAGCCTACTGGCCCTGAGAGATGAGTGTGTACCCAACCAGATGCTGGCTTTACCTGTTACAGCCTCCACTCAGAAAAAGAAAAAAGCAAAATCTTCATGGTAAACAAACACTGATCACCACAGCTCTTAACAAGAATGTTTATAGCCCCAAACCAATAAATGAACATCAACAAATGATCAAATGCTACCTCATTTGAGTTGTTGAATTTTCCCCTAGAGGCTCAGTTCTTGTGCAGGTTGAGCCTGGGAAGGCCTTAAGCCATCAGCCCAGGTCCAGCCAGCCTCTCAGATGGCCAGATACACAGGAGGGTGGGTTTCCTTCATCCTCCAGTTTGATGAAAGGGAAGACTTTTCCACCAGGCCCACAGGGCAGGGCCTGGAGCACAGAGGCAGAGATTTCCCTGCCCGTGCACTTAGGCCTGCCCTTCTCATTCCGGTTTCCTTTGACCCATTCTTGGGTGAGTGCCAGTGTTCTAGAAAGGGGAGTGAAGGCCAGGTTCTAGAATGCCACCCCCCCACCACTGAGATCGGGTCTGGAATGTTAGAAGGGCATATTATATATCCACTGGGCATAAATTGCCTTGTACTTGGCTGCTTCCTCTGCAGATTGTTGCTTCTTTTCCTGGCTGCATAATCCTTTCCTCATCGAGGGGCCTCGGCTCAGCAGTGCTTTCTAGGAGCCCCATGAGCCTTTAATACATTGGTTTTGCCCTGCACCTCTGACCCCTCCCTCCTTCAGGCATGCACCTGGCCCTCACCACTGTGCTCCTGTGGGCATGGGGGAGTCTCCAGGCCTTTGAAATTGTGGAGAAGGAAAACATTTTTCAGAAGACCCCCTGCCCCGCTTTCCTGATGTTTGAAAATGCAGCCTACCTGGCCGACATGAGCTTTGAGCTTCCCTGCCACTGCAAGCCTGAGGAGGTGCTGGCTGTAGTCTGGTTCTATCAAAAGCACCTAGGTAGCAGCCACACCAAAGTGCTGACGGACTTCGATGGGCGGGTGCTGACGGAGGCGGCCCAGGTGCATGTGGGCAGTGACATGCTGACCCGCTTCAGCATCCGCATGTTCAGCCTGTTGGTTTTCAGGGCCCAGCCTGAGGACTCAGGCCTGTACTTCTGTGGCACCCGCAAGGGGGACTACTTTTACGCCTACGATGTGGACATCCAGAGCAGCGAGGGAATGGTGGCCACTTTCCAGGATGAGGGCCAGGAGCCCTTCGCAGACGAGTACTATGGGCACCTCCATGTCTTCACCACCTTCTGGGAGTGGACCCCCTGTGACCGCTGCGGGGTGCGTGGGGAGCAGTGGCGCATCGGCCTCTGCTACCTGCAGAGCCCAGACCTCTCCCCACGCTACCTCAAGGCGGTGCCCGACGTGGTGTCCTGTGGCTCAAGGGCTGTGCCGAGGAAGCTGCGGACCAAGGCCAGGGACCACATGCCTGAGCTGCTGGTTCGGAGCTGCATAGTCCCCTGTGAGAAGACGAAGACCATCCGGGGGGGCATCCTGGCCATCGTTAACTATGTGTCCAAGGTGGGCAGCCGGCCCTGGGTGCCCCAGGTGCCCATTCAGTTCCACCAGCAGAGACTGGGCCATGGGCTCATCATCTCCTGTCCCGGGGCCCGGCCAGAGCATGCGGTGGCCTGGGACAAAGACCGCCAGCACCTCTACCGCACACAGTACCTGAAGGGCGTCAACAGGTCCATGAGGGTGTTCATTGACCACGGCAACCAGCTCCACATCCGCTTCGCCCAGCTGGGTGACCGGGGCATCTACTATTGCTGGAGGCAGGGTGTGCGGGTTGCTGGCTTCCGGCTGGGCGTGACATCTCGTGGGCGCTACCCAGCCTCGTTCTCGGATCCTGAGACTCGCTCGGCCGTGGAGCTCACCCTGATAGGCTACTTGCTCATCACGGCAGTTTTTGTCACCGTTCACCTCTGTCATTGCTGCTGTTACTTATTTAGCTGTTGTCCCAACTTCTCCCCCTAGGCTTTCCCCAGTTCTGAAGACCTGTTGTCCTTCAATGTGTTTGTTAAATGATACCAGATGTCTCTGGTGGGTACCCTGGGCTGGGACTTGTGGTAGGGACATGTGGACAAATCTGTTAGTTACAGCCTGCTCCCCATTTTCATGGGCAGGTCTGGGGCCTGAGCTGAGAAGTGGAGGGGCCCTAAGGCTGGTGGGAGAATGGGGACTGAGGTCAGGATGGAACTAGCCAGGGCGTGCGTGTTTTCTGACTTCACACTTAGGTCAGAGAAGAAGGAGTGAACTCATATTTGTCCAGTGGTAAACACTGATCAGCGCTGAATCGTCTTTGAGCTGTTTTACTTTCTTGCTTCTGAGGATTGTGCTGGTTGAGTTGCTGATAGCAGGGAGAGGAAGGAAGAAAAGAGTGGAGGGAGCTAGTGTAAGTCCTCTTTGGCTGGGTGTGGGGTGTGGTGAGGGTGTGGGCTCCAGAGACGATCACTAATAAGAAGTGAATTGGTCTTGTCGAAGGCTAGGTCTCGACCCCAGTCCCGCCCGCTCATGAAAAGATCAGAGTCCACTCTGGGGAAAGGCGCAGCGGTCTTTATTTTTCCTCAGTAACTAAAGGCAGCAGCAGTGCCCTGAAGATTAGCAGCAGGTGGCAGGAAGGAGCGGAGGGAAAGGACACCAAGTCTTGGGGAGAGAGAAAGACCCTTCTTCGGCCTTAGAGGGGAGAGGAGAACCCTGAAGTGGGCCCTCTCAGTCCCATTTCTGGGCACAGATCCCACCAGTCTGCCCAGTTAAAGCAGAGTGGGTACGCTGGGGTGGGGACGTGTCAGCCCTGAGCACCCGGCCTCCAGGCTGCAGGAATATGAGCCAGTATCTTCACTTTGCTCGCGCCTCAGTTTTACAAATTGTACAATAGGGCGCTACCTAAAATACTGGATACATTTTGCATGTGAGTAAGAAGGGACCACAAGAGGCCCTTGGCTTAGGGAAAAGCAGCCGGTCACTCTGGGGTGGAGATGGTCAGGCGTGTGGCAGTGGCTTACTGGGGTAAAGAAGCAGCAGTCCCAGGGGCTCAGAGGCTGGGGCGGCCTGGGATGACACAGCAAGGAAGAGGCCTTTAGAACTGGGACAAAGTCATGCCCTGCCCCCATGGATACATCCCCTTTCTCTCCTGTTTCAGCATCTTCAAGAGGATGAGTCACTTTCTTAATTCCCACAACTCAGAGGCCAAGTGCAACTGGTCACCCACAACCCCCATCTGGATGTCTAGCGCCGACTTAATTGCCTCCTCCACCATCTCTACCAGCGTCCCCTCCAGTCTGCACGGGGCAGTCTTCCTGGGCTTGACCTTTCTGTACCCACAGCTGGGGGCCAGGCAGCCCCCCTCTATCCCTCGCAGCACCCCATCCCTCTCCACATACACTACAGATCCCCCAAGTGCTGAGAATCAAGCTCCCACCTGCGCACAGTGTGCCCACAGACAGGGTCCCTGGATGGCAGCTCAGGGGGCCTGAGACATTTGAGTCATGGCTCAGGAGGTTCCTCTGGGATCTGGGCAGGTGCCTGCCCCAGGTGGCAGGACGTCCCCACCCATCTTAGACTGATCAGGGTCTGTCTAGAAGAATAACCCTCTGAGCTGGGCACGATGGCTTGAGGCTACAATCCAGCTATACAGGAGGCTGAGGTGGGAAAATTGCTTGAGCCCAGGAGTTCAAGGCCAGCCTGGGCAGCATAGGGAGACCCCGCCTCAAAAACAACAAAAAACAAAACAAGCCTCTGGCCAGGGCTACCTTGTCTGTGGGGACCTCCCTTTCCTGTCTGAGGCTCAGTTTTCCTCCAGCAGTCTGAGGAAACTCAAAGGCACAGTTCCCAGATACCCAGAGAGAACCTCCAATTCTGGAAACAGTTGCCATAACAACAGGGATCAGGGATGTGGAGGGCGATGTATTTGGTCCCCCGCCCTCCTCCCCTTCTCTCCTTCCTCCTCATTCTAACTCAAGCTGCTGGCCATGCCCCTCCAGACTGCCCCTTGGGGGTGAGTGCCTTGTTAGTTAGAGTCGCTGGGTGCTGGGTGGGTGCTGTCTGGCAGGCCTAATGCAGACGGAGCCTAGAGCAGCTAGCTGGCCAAGAGACAAGGAGGGAGGGGAGCAGCTGGGGCGGTGGGAGCTCAGGTCTGGGGAAAGGCGCCAGCAGAGAAGGAGCAACTATCCTGCTCCTCCTTGAGCCCCTCATGCGATGGAGCAGAGGCCACCAGCTGGGTCCCACCTCACATCACATCCTTGTGCTCCTGCTTGGACTCCTTAATGACCTGCAGGGGCAGGGAACATGCACAGTGTGACAATTAGAGGTGCACACAGACCCCAGGTCCACCACCGCAAGGCTGTGTAACCTCGGGCAAGTCCCCACGCTTCTCAGGTCTTTCTTTTCTTGACAGTAACCACAACTACCTCGCACAGTGGTCAGAGAGGGAGAAGTGACGCTGGGAAAGCGTTTAGCATCGTGCCTGGTGCGGAGCAAGCTGCTGGAGTAAGCTGAGCTTCCGCCGTAGCTGGAGTGGTGTGGGGGATATACTAAATCCCCTCTTCCCATCCCCTGGTAGTTTCCTTTTACTAAGCTGGAAATTGAAAGCCCTCCCCATCCCTGATTGTCTCTGTTAGAGTTGGGAGTGAAAGCTGCTAACTTTAACTCTCTTTCTGTCCCTGGCAAGCCAGGACCCTGAGTGTGAGGGTGAGAAAGAGATAGCATTTGAGTTAGGACCCCATCTAGTGGCTTTGGTACCAAGGCTTCTCTTAGAACAGCCTATGGAGGGGCTGGGGAAATGGAATTACATCCAGGTTCCTCGCTGTCCTCCAGAATTCACTGGGGAGCTCCTGGGAGTTACTGCGCCAGCCCCAGGCTCTCATCCACAGCCTGGCCTTGAGAATCCTGGGGGTCAGGCAGCGCCTGATGGCCCAGATCCCTCATTACCTCTCCATCCCGCATCTCTACAGTCTTCACCACGATGTTCCTCTTGAGGTGGCCTTCTGACACAGACTTGGTGTCCAGGCTGGTTTCTGCAGGTGTGAGGAGAAGAGACCTCCTATGGATTCTCGGGGCGAGAGTCATCCTCTCCCACCCCCGGCTTCCCCATTGTGCCCCCAGATCATAATATGAGAACCTGTGCAATGAGGCAGAGAGAGCCTAGGCTCTTCCAGACGGGCTGGAGAGCCCCCAAATCCCAACAGTGCTGCTGCCCAAGTCCTGGCTGCTCTGTCCTGTTAGAGTCCTGGCTACTCTGTCTTCTGGTCTGGCTTCATTTCAGCCCCTTTGCAAGCCCTGGCCTGGCACCTGGCTTTCTGACATCCCAGCAGGGCATCGAGGAAGGACATGCAGGCTTTGAAATCAGGAGACCAGGTGGGCCACGGTGGCTCGCTCATACCTGTAATCCCAGCACGTTGGGAGGCCAAGGCAGGTGGATCACCTGAGGTCAGGAGTTCAAGACCAGCCTGACCAATATGGTGAAACTCTGTCTCTACTAAAAATACAAAAATTAGCTGGATGTGGTGACAGGCGCCTGTAGTCCCAGCTACTCAGTAGGCTGAGACAGGAGAATCACTTGAACCTGAGAGGTGGAGGTTGCAGTGAGCCAAGATTGCAACACTGCAGGATGCTCTGCCTCAAAAAAAA